CTGCCAATCTTAGTTGGCAGTTAATTTGCATATAGCCCTGATTAGCCAATGAAAAGGGTATTGGTCGTACGCCAATTACCATTTTTGTCTTTTATTAGATAGGATTAGGGTACTCCTAAGCTGGCCTTTGCTAAAAACGTCCTCAATCTGATTGAGGTACGTTCGCTGAGGTCGACCCCTTCCAACTTTCCCATCCTCAACTCCTGCATGAATCGCACACGCCTCCCCCATGCTGCGTATCCCATTGCTGGACTGACCAACACCCCCCACTTCTTCTAATGCCACTTCTTCAAAATAGACTCGCCCAGGCTGAAAACCAACTTCTGTGCATGGGCCACAAAGTTTCAGTCGCACTGTACGTGCGCGCCCACACGTGTTATTTTGTGGAAGAGCCATACTCAAGGAGCCAAAGGGCCGCATGTGGCTCATGAGCTGCAGTTTGTCGACCACTGGCCTGGGTGATCATCACGCCATCATGCTGTGATGCCCTCATGCCCTCACAACCCAACAACAGGAGGCTGCCTGCGCAGTGGGGTGCCCGCTGGAGGGCGGGGCTGTGCGAGGAGGCAGAATAGGCCCTTGATGTCAGGGAGGGGTGGGACCTGAGCACTTGGTGGGAGGGAATAGGACAGGCTCCCTGCGAGGGAACAGAGTGGAGCTGTGAGCAGAGCTGGTTGTGTTCAGGTGCTCCTCTTCAGATGTGAGAGGCTGCAGCGGCCTGGCTGAGAGGGAAGGGGCGAGCAGGATGCTCTGAGTGCAGTCACCATGGACCACCCGGATGAGGGGCCTCCTGCCAAGGCCTGCCGCCTGAGCAGCTCGGAGCTCTCTCAAAACGAGGGGCTGCTGCTGCTGCCACCTCCGCCACCACCAGGGCTCATGCGACTGCCCCTGCCTCCACTGGAGCAGCGCTGGAAGCTCAAAGAGGAAACAGAAGCAGCACAGGTGCTGGCTGACATGAGAGGGGTGGGATTGGGCCCCACTCTCCCCCCGCAGCCCCCCTATGTCATTCTGGAGGAGGGGGGAGTGCGCGCGTACTTCACCCTGGGTGCCAGGTATTGGTCAGGGATCCTGATTTTGAGTTTGGGTATGAGGAGGCACCCCCTCCCGCAGAGAGCCTGGAAACATTCTCTCCTGAGGAGGTTGGGGGGAGGGGGGGAAGCCTGGAGATTGACATTCAGGTTCCAGAGCCATAGCCCAGCGGCCCTAGATACCTGTAGCATAGGGGGATGGGAGTACCAGGTGTTAGCTGGTCTACAGGGAAAGGAAGAGGCCATTATCATAGTGGAAGATGACAAAGAGGAGATGAAGGAGAATGTGAGGAAGAAGAGGAGGAGGAGAAAGAGGAGGAAGCAGAGAAAGAGGCCTGGGGGGGTAGGGGGGAGGCCTGCGGCTCCAGCCTACCTCTTTGGGGCAATCCATCGAGGAGCCCCAGGGTCCCAGGTCTCACGCGATTT